CAGAACTGTCTTTATTTTTAGTGCAAAGTTGTTTGATGATCGTTATTATTTATTCAAAATTAAAATACAGTGTACTTTTATTGTTGGTAGGAAAGATGCACTGTTAACAACCTCCTAAAAGGTGTCTCTTTCAGCATTTTTGCCTGTCATAGAGCATTTTCTCCATTTTGGGGAGATGCGGTGTTTTGTCTGACGTGCCTGTGGTGCCAAGAAAGTGATGTAAATGTAAGCCATTTACGTAGGCCTAAGGCAGATGATTTCTTCATTAAAGGCTCTTCTCCAAGGGAATTTACAGGAAAGTTGAGATGAATAAAATAATGGTATGAGGCTAATGTGCCTAAATCAAAGAACATTGAATACAGCATACAGGCTGTCTTTCAAGAATTAAACGGCCCTTAATTGTAGTAGCTTCATCCCTTTCCAGCGAGGGGCTGCTTCTGAATAGAGCCTTTATGCGGGGTTCAGTGCACTGTAACAGAAATGCAGTAGCCTCGGATTGTACATGGATTACCTTAGTGGTCCTCAACATCCCAACCAATAAAACTGGTTAACAATTTAATGTTTATTTTCAAATTTTGTTAAAACTAAAAAGGCCCAGAAAGCGTTATTGGGAAATACTTCTCACACCTAAAGCCGTAGCTGGAGACTTCTCTGCCTTGTGTTGGTGGGAGGTGAGGGACGAGGTGCTCTGGGACTCTTCCTCCATCACAGGGCTGCAGCTGCACGGCACGCGCTGTGCTGCGAGCCTGGGCAGACCCACCGCTGTTCTCGGCTCACCCAGCAGCTCCTTCTTCTTTGTCCTGCTTTTGTTGACTTAGCTCTTCCATCTCCTGTGCTCAGGGGAAATGTGATGTTGCAGGAGGCCTAGGGTGCCTCAGCATAGACCTGCATGTCCAGAAGAATAAGCAGATGTTTCCACCGTGACGGTGTTTCATGTTGATGCAATACCTACTTTGCTTCTTTTGGGAAGGCTGGATGTAGATGGGAAACGAGAAACAACTGTCAAAAAGGAGGGGAGAAAAAAAATAAGGGTGGAATAGAAAACTCCCCGAAGTACTCACTGCAGAGAAAAACAGCTGAAAAGTTTCATTTCATGCATCAGAGGAAACTTTCTCTTGACTCTATCCAAGAAAGCTGTAGCTGTGTTGTCTGTGGGAGAGAGCAGTAATTCATGTAAGAGGAGATCTATGCCACATTCAACTTCTCATTTTTCCTCAGTAAACCAACCTTGAAACTTCTGCTTGTGGAAAAACTTCTTGTCAAAACTCATCGCTTTAAAAATATGAAAAGAGGTGTGCGACTCAAAAGTAAGGATTGCCCCCTGCACTGGGTAAATTGCAGTGTGCTCTTCACTGACTGGGGCCCCTGCAGTGATACGGTGCTGTTTGTTTTCTTAGCTGTCACTGCAGTCACGGGAGGTGGCCTCAGGCCTAGGCAGCTCCCGTGCCCTGGTTTCCTGAGGGAATGTTGGCCACTTGTGTTATCAAGCAAGAGCAAAGTGCTGGCATCTGGGGAGTGGGTATTTTCCTCTGCTGCAGCTTTGTGGCTCGGTTGTGTGGGGCACTGCTGCCCTGGGCACCTCCAGATGGAGCGTGGAGGTCTCCGGGGCTGGAGAAGCCGTCCTGCGGCCTTTGGCCTCTCTCTCTCCTGAGGAGGCTGTGTGGGCAAGGCAGCCATCCTACATCTGGGATGGTGGGAACAGCATAGGAAGATGCGAAGAAGTGACTCTTCAGGCCTTTGAGCCTTGGGAAGCAGTCACCTTCATCTAGTACAGCTAGTTCGGTAGGCAGTGGTGGGTAGAGAGGCAGGCTATGGAGGCAAACGTAGGTGCCAGAAGAGATGTTTTTGTTACGGTTAAGGAGCTCTGTGACAGAACAGGAGGAAATGGCTAGCTGTAAACCTGAAATGAGTTCTGTCAGAAAATAAGCTGGGATAAAGACTTCTGGTCTGTCTCCAGTCTGCAGTGGAGAGCTCCTGGGTTCATGTGTGTGAACCTAACCTGCTTTGTGGCACATCAGCCAAATGGTGTTCTGGGTGGCAAAATTGTGTTAATTCACTGCCAAATTTATACAGTGAGTCTGACACGATCTATTTCATATGTTTAATAATGCAGTGAATTGGTTTTCTTGCAATGTTAATGTGTGTGCTTCTTTTTCTTTGTTGTTTCTTAAAAGAGTATGGTCACTTGTTGAACCGTGGTCTGTGACAAGCGGTTTGGGCTCATGTCACAGAATTTACACAACACTTAAGTAGTGTAGCTAAGTCACAGGTTTGAGTCTATGATGAATTTCCTGTTCGTTTCATGTGTTCAGGGCAGTTGGCATTTTCAAGACAAATAAAATTGTTGAAGACAAATAAAATGGGGTTTGTTTCAGAGAGAAATGAGCAGTGGAAGTAGCATTAGTGCTTCTACTAAGATTTGCATCACTTGTAATTAATTGAAAGGACGTTTCTGGCAAATTTATGAATGTGGAGGGGGACAAGATAATGCCAGTTTTTCAAAGAGAAAATATTTCTTAATAAACAGTAAAGTTTTGATGATGTTTGCGAAAAGGGAAGTATCTGTGGGAGGATAGTTTTTTTGTGGTGATTTTTTTTTTTGTAATAGGATTCATTGTGAGACAAATAACAGATGGTTACCAGGAAGTATTATCTGTAACTTTGAAAGGATGGTCTTCAGGTATGCTTAAAAGTATTTTATTATTATTTCAATAAATAACATTTATTTTTATTTATTTATTTAGTTATATTTTAACATTTATATATTGTTATTTCAATAAATCAGTAAATAGAAAGTGTTGCAAGATAAGTGTTTTCATGGGAACGTTCTTTCAGGTGTCCTGATCAACTCTGTGATGATAACTCACGTTAGTAGTGAATTCTTCTACCCATGTTTTCAAAAGGCAGATTGAGTTTTGCTGTCATAGTCTCCATTATAAACTGAGGCAGTTGAGATTTTCTCTCAAGTTTTCTGGTAAAAGCTACCAATAGACTCATGCTGTTACAACCTAGGCCGCTGTACGCTAATGCTGGTTGCTGGTACAATTCAGAGCTGTTGATATTTTTAGAAAATGAACCTAATATTGTTTGGGCTTGTACTACTTTCTAGAGAATATTGCAAAATCATTTCTTCTAAAACAATAACAATTTTGGAAGTGTTGTAATGTATCACAAGTAGTGGCAAGGGCACAGGAGGCTTCATTATATTGGAACATCTACAAGTAAAAATTTTGCCAGCTAACTCTGACTTTTAGCATTAATCCTTGATGTTGATCCCACGTGAGAAATCTAAGATTTTCTCTTTTTTGATCTTTATGTCATCTTCAGTAATGAGGCTTGTGTTCACAGAAAACATGGACTTAATTGCATGCTAGTGCTGTAAAATGAAGCTGCTTTCTGGACAGAGTTGTTTATTTTTCATGCCATTGCTGAAATCGTAATTGGAGTTTGATCTTGATTTTCTGTTTTTGAATGCTCAGTTTCACTGCATGTTTTTTTTTTTTTGTTGTTTTCGTTTTTCCCCATTCCACAGCTATTTAGTATCAAGGACATAATCCAACGTTAAGCATTTAGTTAGTGGGTATCCATTCAGAATTTGTTTGGGAATTAGCCTGCTCTATTAGCTGGCAAAAATTAGTATAGCATGTACCATCTTAGAGATGGCATGCTAAATGAACTTTGAGAGACTTTATATCCTAGTGTGATTTTTTTAATTAAAATTGTTTTTGCTGTGTTTTGATCAAATTTTAAACTTAAATTAGCTACTGTGTTCTGAAGTCTATGACAAAGGAATTGCACAGTGTTGTCCTTTACTTAGAATTACTGCTGATATTAGTGACAAACTCAATTTTCTTCATTTTGCCAGGTGAGTTGATAGGAGGCAGAGACACAAACTAATGTATGAAGCATAGGAAGTGCTACAAGAAAGTGTAGCTGCAAAATTATTGAAATTGGCAAAGAACAGTTAGGCAGAAATTGATTTGTATTGTGGCTTCTTTTAATCTGAACGTTTGTGCAAAGTGTTCAAATTATGAGGTATTTTATTATGAGGTATTGTGCAAAGTGTTCAAATTATGAGGAGGAGGCTATCTCTTTAAGTTCTTCATCCTTAAATTGAAGCGGATTGACGAAGGTCTCAGCAGAATTTTGTGGTAGAGCAAAAAAGTGAATTCTTTCTGAGAAATGTGAGTGGGTTGGTGGGTGGGTGTTGTCTTGAAACACAAAGCAGAACGCTCTTAAGGCCTTCCTTGCTTTCATGGAAAGTGGGGAGAGGGGAAAAAAAGGCATATATTACATTGGTTTTCTTTTACCAGTTCAATTTATAGAGGAATTGGTTTGAAATGTACTTTAAAATATTTAACTTTAATGATCTCTGTAAATCTAAATGGTAGTTAATATTGGTGTGTTTTCTATGTATTTTAGTTTTGCGCATTGAACAGATAGTGATTTTCACTGTGTTATCCTAAAATAAGGCAGGCATTTTTGGAGGCTGGTAGAGATCCCGAACTTATGCTTTGATCTAGATTTCAAGGTCATTTTGAATTTTAAATAATAGCTTTATTGAAATGTCTTTTACAATCGTACTGCGTTAATACTATATAATTGAGCTTGAGGTTGGCCCAAAAGACAAATGATTCCATCTCCAAGTTTTGGAATAGCTTATCATGAGTACAAAATGAAATAAAATGTTTGAGGTACCGTTTTGCATGTTCAGCCAAAGGCCTGAGGGGGTTTCATGAATTTCTGGGTGTCTCAGTCACTTTCATGTTAGACTCCTTGTAATTTTGCTAAAATATACTTCGTTGAACAGGAGATATCCAGAAAGTCTTGCATTAATTTGCCTTTGTTTTTGCTCTCAGACAGTGCCCTGTTATAAACTAAAATCACACATTCCTGAGTGTAAACTGATCGTGTTCCCAATGGAAATTTCAGGAATACTTGTGGCTATTTTCAAAATGTGGAAATCTATTTATATTTTTTCCACTTGTTTTTCTTCCTAGGTTTTGGCACTGATTGCATTCATCTGCATAGAGACCATCATGGAATGCTCCCCTTGCGAAGGCCTTTATTTCTTCGAGTTTGTGAGCTGTAGTGCATTGGTGGTTACTGGAGTTCTGTTGCTAATGTTCAGTCTAAATCTTCACACAAGAATACCACAGATCAACTGGAATCTTACTGTAAGTTCATACAAATCTTTACTCTGTTCAAAATGTCTGCAAAACTGATCTTAAGTTTGGTCTTTGAACTTTACTTTCTGCTGATGTTTAAGATTCTGTATGAGTACTCTTTATGCTGAGTTAAGTGTACATTTCACTTTGAATACAAACAGCAGAATGAGCTTTGCAACGTAGCAAGATTAAACTACGTTAAATAGAGCTAAAATTCTTTTTTGTTAGATTCTCTTTGGAAGGAAGGACTTTATGCTAATGCCAGTAATTACTGTTTGTGGATGAAGTGGATAAAAATGCAGTCTGTAGTTATTTAACTTTGACAGATGCTGTGTTTACAGTAGCCTGTTGTTCTCTCCTAAGCTGTTTTCCATTTTAGGATTCTGGGGCTACATATATTTTCTTAAACAGATTAATGTAATCATTGGGTAATAGTGTAAAAAATCATGTGCTTTTTGTGAAAATCAGGTGTTGAATTGCTTATGCACCTAACTATTAAACATTGACTGGCAGTGCTTAATATGCTCTCAACTACGAGGAGCTTTAGGAAATGAACTGCTGGCAATGCACATTCCTTTTGTACAAGTCTCCATTTCCATGCTGTATTATGAGTTAAACTTTCAGATTGGTTTGCATAAACACAGGTCACAAAATCAACATGAGTCACTCTAGCAAAAGATCTGTCAGCCTAAGGACAATATTTATATCAACTTCTCTGGACAGTACAGATATTTTTGTGCCCATGTTCTATTTTATTTTATAACAGTAATTTTCAAATGATGTTGCAGAACAGTCCCAGAGGTTTCTAGGCTTCTGTGTGATTTTTTTGTTGTTCTGTTTTTAATGTTGTTATTGCAATTTGTACATTTACCATAGTTGTTTGTAAGCCTAAATGACTTCTCTAAAACAGGACTGTAATGTGGAAATAGATGATTCTTTGTACCCTGGGGATGCATGATTTATTGAGGGAACTCTTCCTAGGAGTGTTTGATAGATCAGATTAGATGGAAGGATTGAAGAAAGTGATGCGTAACTGTAGGTGGGGTAGAGCCAGGTGGCTTGCGAAACAAAACCAGTGGAACCACAGGAATTTTATTGGATTGCCTTGCCTTTGCTTCTTTTATCTCTGTTCGGCAATGTTATCACTGTTTGTGTTCAAAGCAAGCTGAAAAGTAGCAATTGCAGAGAGAAGGTGGTCTGTTTCTGTTGGCAGCCTGGTTGTTTAATGGGCATCACAACAGTCTGACAGGTGATAGCAGCAGCTGAAGACCATCTTGGTAAACCGCACAGCTCTGTGACATGCTAGTAAGGTGTGCAAGAGTGTAAGTGCGTCAGTGACACAGAAGATATGTGGTGGTTCTGCTGGTGTGATGAAAGTGGTTTAACAGTAAATGCTGAGTCAGCCTATGGTGAAAGTAAGCTTGGCCAAGAGTATTTTTATCAAGAGACCACTGAGTATTATGCGTGGTGTCCATGACTGAGCTGAAGCTGGATCTCTGGAAGAGTCAGTTTAATAACTTTGCATGCTCTTACTTCTGTGTGTCAGTAACTTTTGTTGAGTCCCATGGCTTGCTTTTACAGTCTAAGTGTTCTTGTAGGTAGTATGCTGAACATATGTAAATACAGAAAGCGATCTTTTACTGCCTTTTGACCACAAAAAAAAAAAAAGCAGGATATCACCTGTAGTGTAACTGGATGCATCCTTTCAGCCACTCTGACTTCTTACAGATTTGAGCAGCACCTTTCCAGTAGCAGAGTGACAAAAACCGCTGTTCTGAGGGCAGCATTACTCATCTCTGTATAGCACTCGGTGTTAGAGACATTTAGAGAAAAGAGTACTTAAAAATATAACTGATTAAAATATATATATATATATGGATTGAGCTCTTGGTTTAGGGGAATGCTTACACTCAATCCCATACCTGAACATGGAGCAGCATGACATGGTCAGACTTTAACGTGAAGAACAAATGGAATAATCTGCAAGTGCTTTCACTTCAGTTTGTATTGCTGATCAACAGGGAGAAAAGTAAATACTTGTGATCTTGCAAGTTTCTTCTTCTGGTTACGTATACCAAAGACCTCTAACAGAAATGAGAACTTCTGACGTCCACTAACTGAGGAGACCATCCTTCCTCCTGGGATTACTTACTTTAATAATCTGATATGATTTAATAGTCTGATATGGCCCTTACTTGTAGAGTCACGTGGGTGTATCTTCATTATTCAGGTAGATGGAGTCTGCTGGTGCATGTACAGAGTGTAAGATTAACAGCTTCTAGTAAAACCTGTGGGAGATTACTTGGTGGAGTTAGTAGGGTATTTAAGAATGCAGAATTATGTGCTTTCTGCCTTAAGAAATGCTTATTTTGGCATTTTATTCCTTACATCTTAAATGTATATTTATGCATTATTTGCCTATTCCAATATTTCATATTTGCCTGTATTTTGACAGTTTTCATAATTTTGCAGCCCCTGTGAGACAATTATTACAGGAATTGCTTTCTGAACAATATGTTTTCCCATTCCTGAATGCTTTAAGAGAACACTATTTATGCAGAAATTCATGTAGTGCTTTTAAAAAATATGTATGACTTTATAATGAGCATTTCCCTTGTGAAAAGTCTCAAACTTAGCTTTCAGAAGTTGTTTGAGAGGAAGAAGCTGTTGTGTGGGGAAAAAAAGCAGTGTTAAATTTAGGAAGAGGTCTGTCTTCAAACACAGTGTGCACACAAACTCTCTAGGAAAACCATTTGTTTTCCAAATCCTCCTTCATATTAGAAGACCAGACCATCAACTGCTATTATCCAACATGCAACTATTACCTTTAGTACTTCATTAAAATTACGGTTTTCTAATCTGTTATGGATATTATCTGCTATCTGTGGTAAGAATGAACATGAGGCTCTGCATCTAGCAGAATAATGCATATTTATTAAAATAGCCATTTTCTGTTTTTTATATTTTTAGCCATTTGGGAAAAGAGCTTTGTTTTGGTCCTAACTGGGGCCTTCGGGACATGTTCACATTTTTCTCAGATAACATGGAACAAACTTTGGAGATAGTGAGGTCAGAAAAGAACTGTGCTTGGGTGCATTGGAACAAGATGTATTTGTTACAGTGACATGAAGGAGTAGTCAATTGCCCGTGTCGCACAGCACTATCAGCATTATGCAGAAATGCAAAAGCTGGGGAACCTGTCAGTGGAAATTTCTGTTTCCTTTACGCTTCACAGCTGAAAAGGAGCCTATTTTGCAAGAAGACTTGCAAGTGGCAGAGGGGAATGTAGTGCACGCTACAGCAGAGATTGTTGCTGAACTGATGAGCTGCTACTTTGAAATGCTTGTATTCAGTGTTGGCTAATAACTGAATCTTTCATTTTGTGTTTGGCTAAATTATTATTATTATTATCATCATTGTTTTTTAAAATCATTATTTGAATCTCATATGATCTACAATGAGAGTCTGAGATCTTGCATCCAAGTGGTGTGGATGACAAGGCCCTCCAGTAGGGCTGGAGCAGGAAACTGAACAGAAGTGTTTGTGGTAACTTTGTTCTGGTGGATTTGCATCTGATTTGCCAGGCTTTCTGAGAATTCCTGTCTCTGCAGGGTGGAGCCACAGAAATGCTGCGGTACCTAAGATGACTAGGGGAGGGAGGGAAATGATGGCAAATAGCTGGAATTTGACGCCGTCTCTTAGATGACAGTTTGATGAGATAAATCCAGGTCATTAGACACACTGTTGCATAATTGGCCAGCAGAATGGACTGCTTATGTATACAAAAAATCTTCCAATAGATTTTGACCGTTTATTTGTATTTTTTTCATGTTCACTGCAACTGTGGAAGTGTGTTTTGTCTGTGCATTTCTGAATACAGAGTTTGTCAATGTGGAGCAGCCTTAAAAATGAGGCACTGAGCGGAGCACAGCACAAACTAATTACAGTTCTGCTGGGCTTATTAGCTTGGGCTCAGTCCCTGGGCAGCACTGCTCCAGGGAGGAAACAAAAGTCAGGTGTATCTCTTTGAATACACAGATTGGTGGGTGTATTTTTGTGCTGCCTCAAAACTTATTTCATCATCTTCACAGTTGTTTTTTTTCCCCTCAGTTGTTTGGAAGGTAAAGCCTTGGGGGCAAGCAACTGACACTGAGGTAGTTGACAGGAACCTTGAAGAAATGCCAGACTGATGAAGGTCTTTGCCAACCTTGGCTCTGAAGAGAGGAATTGCAAAGCTGAATTTTAAAGACCTGCATGGAGCAATCTTGATAAATTTTATTCTCCCATGACCTCACTTTTTTGTTGCTGTTGTGAACAAACATCTTGGTTTTCTTTGGCTGGCCTTGCTGTTGAAAGTGAAAGTGAGGGATGACTTATTTAATTTCTCAATGGTCAAAATAGCAATGCCTGTTAAGGATGAGAAATTGGTATTTTATAAATTTAGAAAGAATTTATTTCTTTCAGGTTTGTGCTCTTTGTGGGCAGTTCTTATTTGGTGTAGCACAGTGTAAACAGTGGTGCATTATTCTGTAAGCAATACAAACACTAGCTTGAAATACCCAGAAGTATTACCTGGTTGGGTATTTTTTGCGAGTAGGTCTGTTGCATTGTGAAGAAAACTGGTGGTCTGTCTGTGTACAAATTGTCAGAAAAATGCGTGGGAAGCAGCAAGGAGCAGCTAAGTAAGAATTGAGAGGGGAAATAGGGGATCTTCAAGGAACCAAAATAAAGCAGGGATTATGGAAGCTTTCATTCCAGAATATACTTTGTCATTTACAGCAGGATTACTGGGTCTAACAAAGCTTGTATTCCAACTCAAAAAATAATTAGAAACAAGAAATAAACCATGTGAGTCTTGGTTTTGAAGACACTTCTTCCATTTCTTCAAAATCCTATCATGTCCTTGACCTTCCTTTTGGTGAGCTGACTGAGGTTTTTGAAAGTCACTTGTTTTGTTTCATGTTTTTTTAATGTACTTTGCTTGAGATGCTGGCACCAGAACCTGTTTGCAGCAAGCCCCAGACACCTGGGGCTGGAGGGGGACCCCTGAGACTGGTGGGCTGCTGGGGCCACGGGACCCTGCAGAGCTGAGCTGGGGACGGGTGGCGTGGTCCTAGGTGGTGAGACAGGCACTGAGGCACTTCGGCACAGGTTGAATCCAGCCCTGCAGGTCGCTAGCGTGTTTCTGGAGCTGTCAGCCACAGACTATTTTGTCAGAGCGAAGTGATGTTTACCTGAACCTTGAATAGCAGGATGTGGTGTTTGAGTAAAGTCTCCCTTACCCAAGTCCAAATAGATATGAAAAAAGAGATTGGAATTAATACCCCTACAGGTAATTTGGTTCCTTCTACCTAGCACTTGTGCTTCAGGAAACCATTATTTCAATTAGTACTTTTTTATGCTCATACAAAGTTTAATAATACAAATAGAGAATTGCATTATGTGATTTTGACCAGGGATGCTTGATTTAGAAGATGGACAGGTGTGTTTGTAAACTTCAGATTGATAGCTTCATATAGGAACCAGGGGAACAAGTTCCTGAGCCATGCAAATGAAGTACTTATGGAAGAAAAAACAGGGGCATTGTTCATACTACCCCTCCCCACACACACACTTCCCCACACACAAAAAAGGCAACAGAAAAAGGAGAAAAACAGAGGAAAAAGGAAATGCTACTTTGAGCGTCCTTTTGTTGAAACTAACTTGGACAGCAGCTAGTAACTTCTGTGACCTTCCATGACAAATTCAGGTTGTTGAGATGCACAGGTTTCTTTTCTAGATTAGTCATGTGGCAGCTTTAAACTCCATCTAAATGTGATCTAGATATTGGAAAGCAAATGACAAAAGCAACAGCTGTTTTCAAAATTATGTTTTTTTATTAATTGTGATATGGCATATAGTACCTGGTCACTTTTGCAGTCTCTTACCACAAAATATAGGATAAAAAGGCAAAGCATGTATCTCACTTAAATGTCTCTTAGAAGCTTGCGTGCGTGAAGCCACAGAGAGCAGTGGATTAAGGTACATGGGTATTCCTGTCACCTCTGACCATCAGAGTCAGCTCCTGGCAGTGTACCGAACTGGAGGACTAGACAAAGACTTCCAAATCTGATGTCCTTTGCAGCAGCTTTCAGGAGTTTTTAGCTGTTAGTAGCCCACACTGATAGCACCGATTCTGCCTTTTGATCTACGTTAATCCAAAAACCAAACCTGCTCAGGCTCTTAAAGCAAAATACCATAGTATGCTATTTCTTTTCCTATCTAGAGATTCCCACCTTGCACAGCAGAATAAGCAGAACAAAACCTCACCCTATTTAAGTATAAAATGCCATCTTGGCAGAAGTGCACAAATTAAGATGTCTCCCCTGCCTTCTGCTCCGAGTGGGATAGCTAGCTGGAGATGGCAGCGGCAAATATGTGTCCTTGGATACTCTCCTTTGGATGAATGCCACTGTTAGGACTGCTGGTGACTGAACAGAATGACTTGTGAGTAACAAGCAAGGGCACGGAAGTCAATCGTTTGATTTTGAATTGTTTTGCAAAGGAGAAAGAGACGAGCAGCAGTCTAGAGTGGATTTGATTCAGCTCATAGATTTTATTCTCTGTTATGGATGGCAGCTTTGTACAGTGTTTTATGGCACAGCATACTGTCTCATGAGGTTGCTGTAATTTCAGCAGAAATTCTTTTATCTGTGTGATGTGGTTTTTACTTTGTCTATAAATATAATAGTAAGAACTTGAGCTACATCATGGCCAGATTTGAAAGAGCTCATCTTTTTTCAATTAGCTTATTCTTTTATTGTCACGATTATTCATTTTCTTTTACGTGGAAAAAAGCTACATTATTTTAGGGAGTGTCCTTTGCTTCTTGAATTCCTTCTGTAGTTCATTCTCTTTTTGTTTCTGCTCTGATTCTTTCCAAAACCATTATAGATTTTTTTTTTTCTTTTATCTTTCTTGTTTAAGTACCAAATTTGGGATTAAAGACATCCCTGGATGTGTGCGTTGGTGATTCTACCATTATGTACCTATACAACAATGTTACTGATGTGTCGTAGCTCCTCAAGCTCCAAAGAATCTGGCTTGTGGATATGAAATTTGTCTTATGTTTTTAAGAGATCAGTTTTACTGTGCAGATTGCAAAGGTTTTTACCTAAACAAGGAAAATGAAATGGCAGAAATGAAAAAAAAAATTGAATCAAGATGGAATAAAGTATTCAGATTTGAATTGTTGGATTCTTTGCAAAGACAAATCTGATATTATTTGTCGAGAGTGCAATAAAATATAAACAGTCATAGATGCTTTTGAAAGTTCATCATTATATCTTTGATTTCCTGGAAAAATCATGACAAAGGCATCTGCAGGTACATTTCAGCAGTATTTCAAATTCTGCAATTATCTCAAACTTGTTATAAGAAGCCTTCAATCAATCTGTAGCATGAAGACAGATGATGTCTGTTATATTGTGGGTACGTCTAACAATCTTGCTTATTTTAACCTCCTTTGACAATTTGATCAAGCTGGTAGGTTCAAAATTCAGAGGTCAGCAGGATTAATTGATAAGTACATCTAACCCTGTAAATCATGCAGCATTGTGTCATCCATTTAGTCATTTTTTAAGTGTGGTAATGAGGAAGTACAAAGTGTGTCTGAAAAAGAAATCTGGATCGTAAGAAATAAGAAGAGGAATATTAAGTGTGTCTTTGGCTGTTTGTTCTAATAGTACCTTACAGTTAAAACATACTTAATTTTGTATATTACTTTGATCTTAACCTTTCAGCTATTGATTTTGTTATGCTTTCAGTTTTGATGTGCTTTTCTATGCTATCTTATTTAATTCAGCCAGTATTTCTTGATTATGTGAACATCAATCTTCATGTACACAGCTCAAACCATTTAATATTCAAAGCAGTTTAGGTTCTTCGATTTATACTATGAGAAATTTTATCCTCCTTTTAAGTAACGTCTGTGGCTCTCTTCTGTACCCTGTCCAATTTTTCAAGATAATCTTAAAAATGTGGGTAGCAGAACAGAATGCAGCATTCCAATGTCGCTTACAAGGGTGAGATAACCACCTTACACCTATTGTGACTGTATATCCAAAGGAATGTGTAAGTGTGGTTGCCCTCTCCTCGGTGTTTGTTTTCGTCATTCTTGGTGACATACCTGTGTTTACTCTAGAGACTTGATGAAAATGTTGTATACTGTTGAGTCTGGTATCTATTGACATACATAGGGAGTAAGGGGGAAAAAAAAAAAAGGTGCGTGCAGATGAAAACCAAAGCTCTTTTTGGAGACCTTTGATTTCTATTCATCTATTGTGAATAGAATTGTTTCCTTTGTAATAGACTTTGTCATCCTTTATATGCGATAACTGCATAGGAAGTAGGACCGTATTACTGTAGTTTTTGTTCTAACCTTCTTCCATTTTGTCAATTCTAATAAAAGCAAGTAACTATTATTGTTCAGTAATGCTAATTATTTTATCTTTTTTAGGATCTGGTAAACACTGGACTCAGCACTTTGTTCTTTTTCATTGCCTCTGTAGTACTTGCTGCTTTAAACCATAAAACTGGAGCAGAGATTGCTGCTGTGGTAAGAATTTGAACTTCTTTATATGCAACTAATGCCTTCTATTAAAACTAAGAATAACTTTTCCCTTGTGTTCTTGGAGTATTTCTGTTACTTTTGCCATCCCAATTTACTTCTAATTTTACAGTTGGCTATGCGTTAATTTTGATTCTAAAAGAATTGATTATCTTTGAATTTTGTCTCAAGTCTTGAAGAAAGAAACAGGAAAAGAGATTGCTGAGAACACTAACAGTTTTATTTGTCTTGTATCTTTCTCTATAGATAGCTTAGGTGTTACAGCAGTATATTGCAAGCTTACAGAAAAGGTATAGCCAAAGATTCTTACAAAATTGGAGCTGCTTATACTTAATCTTGCTGAATTCTTCTTGCTCACTAATTTTTGTTTTGTAGAGGGAGTATAGTGGTGCTTTATGTTTTTAGATTTTTCATTCTAGAGCAGTAAGGTCAAGCAAATAAATTTTGTGCTCCCGTTCACAAAGCTTTTTATTTTTTTTCCGCAAACGTGGGCGTTGAAAATCACGAGTTCTGCACAAACATACAGAAAGCCCTGCAAATCAACTCTTCCTTCAGATTCATATATAGTCTGGACTGGTCATCTCTTCTCTTGTCATTTGTCAACTGTTACATTCATCCAAACAGTTCATTCCGCAGGATGAAGAGCTGTATTCTTCTTCACAAGTGGTTCTTCATTGAAGTTGCATTGCAAGATTTAATTGTCATGTTGGTAGACAGAGAACTCAGTTTCCTGGGATCATTAATCTTAGTAGCTTTCACAGATTCTCTAGACCATTGAGGAAGGAACAACATCAATATTAGAGGCCATGATGATTTGTCAGTGCAGTAAGGTAGAAAACTTAACTTCTGAAGAATTTTTTATGAAACTACTGTTGTTCTTGTTTTCAGAAATTGTCTTTGACGAGTCTTTCTACCTCTTGTAGATATTTGGTTTCTTGGCAATGGCAGTGTATGCTGTGAACACATATTTAGCTATCAAAAAGTGGCGAATGAACAGCAGACAACAAAACAGTCGTCAGACCAGTGATTACATACGTGCTCGGACAGAATCCAGAGAAGTAGATCATCGCCCTGAGATTCAGCGTCTGGATGCATGAAGCGATACTCAAATGGGACTGCAATGGGAAAAGAAGTGCTCATGGAATAAACTCCCTCATGGAATAAAGTGTTTTTTTCTTTATTTAAGGAAGTAAAGGAAGATCAGTTGGTGGCAAAGAATGTCGAGCCCTGCATATGTGCGTAGATGCATTGAGTCAGAAGCTGTTGTCATGAAGGCAGTAAATGTTGGTCATTCAAAAGCAAGAGCCATTTAAGACATCCACATATATATATACATATATATAAAATATATATTATATATATATATGTTGCGAAGTACATTAATGTGTTGGATTAACTGCACAAAACTTTTCTTCTCTCTCCTAAGTGCAAGCTCTGGATACACATTCTGTCACTGTATCTTCGTCTGTCATAAACACTAAGACCAGCATTATCTTGTTTGTTTAATATAAGAAAGAAATCCACCAGAAGAAAAATTCATACCTGTGAAAAGGAAGTGAGGGGCAAATAGCAATAACTTCAGTCATGCATTGTGTCCAGCAATTCTCTGTGTCCTTCCTTGTGCAGCCTTGGCGGTGCAGTTCAATTCTCATCTGCAAGATCTCACGCAGTTTCATTGGTGGCTCACTCATATAGCTGAAATAAACAGACGGATCATGTCTTTGGGTTGATGGATTTAATGTTGAGGTAGTTGTCTTTGGATTACTCTGAAATCACCACATTCAGTTCATGCATGACCTTTGTTGGATCTGAACTTATGCAAGATTAGCATGTTTACTGAATGGTCACCATACTGTAATGCTTCCAGTGCGAGTATGTGGGGTTTCTGTTAACGTTGGGATACGTACTATTTTGCTTTTCAAAATGGGGAAAAAGGCAGGGTGGAGAAGGGGGAGGCAGAGGGGCACAGTAATGAAGGGGAGAAAGAATGAATTGTCATTCAGTAAACTTGCATTCCAGTCATGTTTTTTTTTTTTGTTGTTTTGTTCTTTTAAGGTTCAACCTTTCTGAGAAGCATAGGGTAAGCAAGAACTATCAAAAAATTCTTGTACTTAGAATGTAATCTTAGGAACACTGTATTATGATTCATCTAAGACACATTTTCCTTGCTCAGAGGGTTACTTGATTCTTCTAAAAACTGTTAGTAGTAAGCAAAATGTTATTTTAATTGGGTATGTCTGCAAAAAGTTTTTCTAGTATTTGTTGATTTATTTAAGAACGGTTTTACCTAACTGAAGTTTTCTTAATTGTACTTCCAGTGAAGATGAGGGTGTTATCTCTAATCAAAACCCGAGTTCTGCAGTAATCAGTTTCATAATGTTAAAACAAAGAAGTTCCTCAGTATTTTTCTGGTTTTATGGCCGGTGTTTTTATCTGTGTAATCTATTATTTGGCATATGGATGTCTGCATATTACATGAAGAAATGTTGCAGGGTAAAGATCTTGAGTGCTGGATTCCTTCCGGGTTTAGGCTAATGAAGTAACTGAAATTAGTGGAACTACGCCTGAATTTATCTCACATGTGAGTTTAATGCATTTTGTGTTGTTTGTAATTTAGCTGTACTCTTAAGTGGTTGAATGCAGTTAACTGGAAGCTTAAGAACAAAGGGCAATGCACTGCAGACAGGTGATTTTGAAATACTAAAACCAGGTTATTGCCAAACAGAAGATCAGTATAAGTGCCTGGGCTTTTTAATATTTGAGGGAACTGAGGGAGTTCCAGACTTAAACCATACATTGCAATGTTTGAATCAAGCAGCAGGAAATTAATGTGTGGAAAACTGGTTAAAAACTAAACTAACGTAACAACAAAACTGATCTCATTTGTTGAAAAGATGTAAGACACGGACTCCTGATGGCTCTTGAACAGAAGGCCTTTATTGCCCCTTTTCACTACTCCATATACTTTCCCCATAGCACCACGTGCTGTCCACGTGCCTGAATCTGTCACACAATTCGTTAGAGACCTTCAGACGCACCTTGAGTCAGCCAGCAATTGGCCACTGCCCCAAAGCTCATTTTTAACACTGTAGCCAATTTTCTTTTTGACAACCTTGCTCGAGTTTTTGTTTCTACCACTTGTTTCCTCATTATTTCTAATTCAGGGATGTGTGAAACAGCGCGGAGTCACCTGCAAATTCCTTTCCCACAATTTGTGATTTTTCTGATGTCTACAGTACATTTCACCTGAGTTGTTAAGACTGAGATTAAAACTAAGAGTTACTAATGAGGTTAGAGAAAAGTTGCCTTTCTAAACTAGGAGTGGTTTGCCAGTTACTGTATTAATGTCTTACTTAGCTTCATTGAAAGTTAATACCAAAGGCAACACCAGTTTAAAAAAAGGATCAAAACATAGTAGCTAATCTCTTGTTGGGTTTACAGCATAGATGTTTAATTAAGGTGGTGTCTCACCAGGATTAATGGGTGTTTCATGAAAAGAAAATGACAGCTCAGTGTTCACTCTGGCATGAAATAATTAAGTTACTGAAGCCAGCATAGTTGCTTTAGCCCTGTTGTTTTTCAGTACTCTAAAAGTAGCATGAGCGTATCTAGACCGGTATTGTAAACCAGCATTAAAGCAGTTGGCATAAGTATCATTTTAAAATAATAATATAAAAACTAATTAAAGCCTTACTCACATACAGAATATTGTCCTGCAGAAGATCCTTGCTTTTGGAGTGGTACCCACATCTGAAGTCAAGAAACAGAAGTTAGGTCTTACGTAAGAAGTTACGTCTTACAAAAAGTGTAGGCTTTCCATTGAGTATATCCTGATGCTGGTTAATGAAAGGATCAAAATGGTGTGTATGAAAGAAAATGCCCTTTTTTCTCTTCCGTAGTCCCCGTGCTGATTCAGTTCATCTGACTTCTCAGAAATATGGGAGGTCTCATGCATCTACAAGTTTATGGCTTTATCTTCCAAATCCTTACACCTTTCCGTACCTAGACTAAAGATAACTTCACAGAGTTTTTTTCTGGAGTGAGATCATGAAAAGCTGTTGTTATCTTTTAGCTGGAATGACAAATGCTTACTTAGTATGAATGATAGTTATATTTCTAATATCATATAATACTTCATCCTGTAGTATAGTATAGCTGTATGACCTTGAGTACTTTTACACATGAAATAAGTTTTCTTGAGTTGAGAACGATATGCTGTTATTTATTACTTACATCAATAATGACTTGAGCTTAGCACAGCTTTCAGGATAGAATTCAAAGAGAATATGAATTGAAAAAAATAGTATCTGATACAGTTGGAAAACAGGAAAACAAATGTAAATTTGTAATTTCCTTATTTTGGGGACCAAAGATGATTTTAGTATTGTACAGTATATACTTTCTAAAAGTCTAAGTTAAGCATTTATTACTCTTCAGAGACATTATTTACTATTTGCATTATAGAGTAGGGAGATAAAGTGACGATGAGATGGACAACTAAAATCGAAGCATTAAGATCATATGATGCATAAGTGGTTGATTTTTTTTTTTCTTTTTCCCCAGACAATTTTATATAATGGTTTGAAGAGGTGGTGATGTTTTATTAAGACTGTTATCAGAACTGCAGTCATCATAAAAGGGAAAAAAAAATCTCTTAAGGAATAAAACTGAGGTAAAAAGGTGTTTTTTTTTTTCATTTTTTAAAATTTTATTTTTTTTATTTTAAATGGGAAAAAGTGCTTCTTCCAGCCACCTAATCTTATTTGAAAGCATATAGGGTTAATGTTTCCTGAGCATACAGGGTTAGTTTTCCCTTTAGTGTTAAAGAGTGCTGTTTAGCTTCACAAAGGGACCCAAAACCACTGTAAATAAAACTAAATGAAAGCTAAACACCTGAAACTTCTACGAATGGGATGCTTGAAGCTGTAGTGACATTCTGATTAATCCTCTTAAGTCAAAACTAAGTCCTCAAGTGTGCAATCTCCATGTATTGCTGCATGTAGAAATGAGGGCAAGTTTTGCAAGCTATGCAGACATTGAAATATTCATTAACAATAGGAAATGATTGGAGTAACAGCATAGTAATTGTTGTATAGTGTTTCAAGAGTAGGTATCTTCCTTTTAATGCTATGGTCAGTTTGGTCAGCCTTAGTTCAAGTTTATTATACATACATGTAATGACGTGCAAACTGCCTACAATAGAAGCAGGTTTCTAAAACCATAAGAACTGATTTGTCAGTTTAATTGCTCCTTAGTAAAGTTGGTTCCTTTTTATTCTCTGCTTGTTCCTTCCATTTCATAAATTCATGTCTCATCTGTCTTACGTTTTAATGTTTAGTTTTGTTAACCCTTCTTTGTTATCTGTACAGTGTCTGCTTCACTATAAGGAGGACAAGAATAGCATGTCCGATGTCCTTTTGCTTAAGTATGTACTCTTACCTTTTGTGATAGCTTATGTTATTTGGGCTGGATATGCTGGGGGATTTTTTATTTTGTCCCATGGACTTTGGAAGCTAGCTGGTATAGTATTCGTTTCTTCTAGGCTTTCTGTTAGGAGCCACATGCTCACAGATTGAGGACCAGAGATTCATCTACCTCTGCCTTTTTTTTAAGAGACAAGGTGACGATCCTTGAGATTTGATGTCTATATTTCAGTTTGTGCTGTTCATTGTTGGCTTTATATTCATCAGCAATGAGCCATGCTGTGGAAGCAGCTTGCTGTCTTCAGCTTGTAAGATGTCTCTTAGGCGTGAACTTAAATTGGTAACATGGGGTGCTTCTTCATAGGCTTTGTCCCGTGTTTCACTGTGCATCTTATGACATGATCTAGAATTGCTTTACTGTATCTGTTTGTGTTTCATTGTTGAGTGTAGAAAGAAGAGGGGAAAACTGGGGAGAACTTCCAAGTTTTTAATTATTATGATTATTTTTTCATGAATTACTTTGTACCATATAATGATTGTCCCTTCCTAATGCAGCAGATTTACTGGTTCTTAAAGTGTTGCGAACAGCAGCAGAATTGACCTGCTACAAGCTGCATGTGGACTATGAATTAACCACTAGTTTTCCATAAACGTTAAGGTCCCAAAGTAAATGTTATATTTGCCACCTTTGTGCTGATTTGGGAGTTTGCAGGTACAGTAAATGCTTACATAATAAATGGCTTTATTAATGCAGCCTTTTTTTCCCCCTTGTTCTGTATCTGCTCTTTTCTTGTCCTGTGACACCTTTGTAAGCATTTCTACCTGTTCTCTTTTTCTTTTTTTTTTTTTTTTTTTTGGTGGTTGTTTTTAGGGTATAATTTCACCAAAAAAAAAAAAAAGTTAATAGCAATTCAAATAGGGTAGAAAATAATATATTCACTTGTAGTCAGATGAGATACTGAGCAGCTTTGCGCATGAAAATTGGAGCCTAAATGACAAATCCTATGCTGAAAGCTCTGGAGCCAAGCATCTTCAGCAGATACTTAAGAGAGAGAAATGTAGGCTCATTTAGATTATGAATATGAAACGTAGTAAAGGATGGGAAGGAGAAAGAAAACCAAACCTGATGCTTAGTAATTTGGTGTTTTCAAAACATGTGAATGTGAAGAATCCTCAACTGCAGAAGGAAATTTATTTTCTGCACTTCATAGAGAAGTTTACAGAGACACTTTGACTTGGTGATAAAAGTAGGTGTAGAAATGTTTCTCTGTTCCTAATCCTGGGGCCAGGCTGCCTACGTGTTATGGTTGGAGAGATTCTACACCCATTTTGTTAATGGTGTATTAAAACCTGAGGTACGTTGACAAATCATTGTGATTATCAAATGACTTCTACTGAGCTCAAGTGTCGTGGTTGGTTCGCAAAGAGCTGCAGGATCTAGAAGCTTGCATCAGGAGGGATGTATGTATCTGGAAGAATGGATTCTTTCAGACTGGGATTTCTGCTTAGTCCCGCTGTGATGAGTAAAGCCATCAAGTAGCATTTCTGAAACTGGGTGCATAGTTTGCTGTTTATGGGATAAAATAATAGATTGTTTGTAGGGCCTTTTAGCCAACAAAGATCAAAGACTGTGCTGATACAGATATCATGTATTTCAAATTTAATGGCAACAAAAGTAATCATTTTACAATGAAACTGAAATGGGCAAAAAAACAAACAAACAAACAACAAAAACAAAACAACAAACAAACAGCAGAATGTTGTACTTTTTGCCTAGAAATATTTTCTTGGAAAAAAAGAAGTGTAGGGTTTGTCATGCTCTTCTCTTTATTTTAACAGAAGGAGTTGATTAAAAATGAATTCATACACATATTCAGGAAATTTCTAAATTCTCTCTCTATAGAGTTTTTCCTGATATGCTATTTTCCCTGTTAGTCACATAGATCAATCTGTTCAACAGAATCAGAATGGTGCTGTCCAGCCTGAAAGGGTTCCTTTGTTGTCTTGGTCTTATTTTTGCATTGTCTTTTTAAAATCTGTCTATAATTTAACCATTTGTATTCTATAAATAATCTTAAAAAAAAAAAAAATCTGCTTACACTGTGATTTATAGTAGCCTTTAATTTAGAGTATACAACACAATCTAATTTTCTTTTGGGATATGCAGCTTTCAAAAGTGTTCTTATATATGCCCGGAAATAAAAGTTGTCTATTTATCATGAAAATGTGATTAGGTAGTTACCTATCCAGAGTTCCAGTGCAACTCTTTCAAAAGTGTGCTGGATGGATGAGTTAATGAAATTGCCTTTTAATCTCTATGGGTTAATAAATATTTTTTTATAACTAGCCACAGATATTCCTTTTTAAATTATACTTGGCAAACAGAAGATATTTAATTTTATATACAATATACATAGTTACCTTGATTGACGTATTTATAACATAGAGCTTTGAGTTTACTATGAAGGTTTTATCATATACCATGGACTTCATGGGTAGAAGTTTAAAAAAAAAAAAGAAAAAAAGAAAAATAGTTACCATATATGGAAGGATATGGAAACTTTCTTCATAAATTCAGATAGAGGACATCAGAGCATTTCCAAAAGCAATAGCCAGATCTTATTAACAGAGTATCTGTTTTTTTCTTATTTTTGACTGGGGCTGGTCCCTACAGCTATTTTAGTAACATCTGGATGTGAGTAAATGAATGAAATATGACCATCTGCCTCTTCCGACTGTCAAGGACTATTGTCTAGAATATGGGAAATTTCAGGGTATTGTTTGTTTTGTTTTGGACAAATGTCTCAATAGACATATTTAGTTAAAACCTTCATGCATTTGAAAGAAAATACCCTCTATTAACTTAGGCTGATTTATCACTTCTGGTAACCTTTTAATCCCAAAGGTATTATAGTCTAAATATTTTCAGTAATGTTACGTTTATCCAGATGTCTGCAGGTTAAAATGGTTCTGGCTAGCACCCTTTTATTACAACAATTGCTACCTTCATTTTCTACTGTTTATACTTTAATCTTGAATGTTTAACAGTTTCTACTTGTTGGATATTGTGAAAGGAGAGTGTATCATATAGCATTACAGTCCATCCAGCTTTAACTCATATGTCACGGTTCTAGAATAAGGTGATATTTTGATTTATATATTGTGGCCAATTAATTGCATTTTTAAATGATTTCTGTACTTAAGACACAACATTTTTAATAGCATTTTAATAACAAATGATTAGCTCATCATTTTATCTGTCTAAACTTACTCTCTTCTGTGTTAATGTCATTTTGAATCTATTTGTATATGTTGAAGTTTGTAAGGGTTCAGGAACCCACAATAAAATAGTAAAGTATGTATTTATTTCTCATTATAATGCTCAGTTTTGATTTAAAAGTTGACACTTTGTATGTCTTTTCACAGAACTGTAAACTAATACCGAAAAACTGCTTCACCTAGGGTGCCTTCCATGTGTGGTATAAACACTTGTCATTCACAAAAAATAGAGATGTAAATTTATTAAACCAGTAAACACTATTTTTGTAATGTGAGTCACTAATGCATCTCTGGCTTTATTGTGCTTTATTTTCACTAAAAACAGTTTTATGGCTACTGTAGTCATTGTTTCCCTTTGTGTACTGCATAGTAAATATGGTCTCATGGTGAATCAAAAGATTGTATCACTTCTGCTCTTCTCTGCCTTCAGCTGCTACCTGAAAGATGGAGATAAAGCACATTGCTGAAGTGAGCTAGAAGGTATTCCAACCCTTTCCTTGAGACTTGTATAAAGAAATGCTCAGTGTGGGATGTCTGTATCCTTGGTGCTGATTCAGGGTCCTCTAGAAAAACATAGTAGGCATAATCTAAACATTTCTGATACTAGCTCATAATTCACAATTTATGGTGTCTGAGAAAGGAGCATCCCGGCCTGGAAGACTTATCCCTTGGGGATATAGGTTCTGTACTGACAGATTGGTAATTGTGAACAGCTCAGATGTATCAGTCAAAATAGTGGGTTAGAATTCTGTCTTCGGACTGAGTGAAGGGGATGCAATTTTCTTTTTAACATACGAGCACAATTCTGCTATGTAATACCATTGGTATTTTGTTTTTGAAGTTTGAAAAACTGTAATGTATTGCCAAGGAAAATCTTCTAAGCGTTCTGTATGTGCTGCTGCAAATGCAGAACCTGTCTCTGTTATCCTTACTCAGGCAAAATTCCCCATTGATGGGGGACTGCAGGATCAGGTATCTATTTATCACCATAAACACGTTCTGATCAAGGATTTGAAGAATATCACAAGCTAGCAAATGTGCATATAAAGACAATGTACAGCCTTGAAGCAATCTCACATTATTTTGGTAAGTATTTGTGGTCTCATTTAAACTGCTCACAAGGCCAGCTGATAAAATTGATGCTTTCTGTAGAGGTACCACTGATCTGTGATCTGATGTTACTTCTCAGTAATACATGTGTAAGCATAGCATCTTCCAGCTCTGTATGTGAAAATCGTGCTCTTAATGCTTGGACAATTTCAAAGGCAAGGTAACTCTACAAGAAAACCTAGCTTCTAACTTGTGTTTTACACCAATGATGATTTTTCAGTCTGTTGTGCACTTCTTTTCTGTCAGTTTTAATGATAAACAAAAACACAAGCTGAAGAATTTTCTTGGAATACAGAAAGCAGTCCTTGTTTTTTTTTTTTTGTTTTTTTTTTTTTTTTTTTGTTGAAATCCATACCATCCTAGCATAATTTAAATGGTGTATTTATAGGTTTTAAATGTCATGTTGTTTTTCCAGTCTTTTGTATATGGGCACATTACTTTTTGTAATTTTTTATTTAGTTGTCTTTCAGTTTTTTCTTTCTGATATCTGAAGATTTGAGCTCTATGGATTTTCATGGTACTCCTCTGATTATGTCTTCATAGTGTTAAAAGTGTATTTTTGTATGTAGGGAAAATGGTAGTTTTCTAACACTTACTTTGATCAATATAGTATGAAATCATTTGTGAAGGACTTCCTGTTCAATAAATGGACATGTTAAAGCACTAAAACATTGTCTTCATCTGTAAAGGCAACGTATAAACTCAGCACAAGGTGTTGTGGCTGATTATCCAGCAAGTGTAGCTGCTAAATGCATTTCCTATGCAAGACAATGTCATAGGGGCTAAAACAACTGAACCAAAAGACTCCACCTGAGATTTTTGTGACTGCTTTTGACAACACAAACTTCATAGATGCTGGAGTTAATGAAAAACCATGTATAAGCAGTCCGTGATGAAAGATTATAGGTAGCAGAAAGCACACGGAACTGCTTTGTTGCTGAAGTGGTTGTGGCAGGATTGCTCTGGTGAGGGTTTCTCTGTCTGTACTCTGGAATGGAACAAAACACTGTATCTTGTGGTTTGCAGCAGCATGTTCTGGACTGAAAAGGACTTGGGAGCTGAAATGCGAGAGTGAGTAGGTAACTCTGCCACCTCGTGGGGTGAAGGTTGTGTATCTTACCTTGGTGTGATCTCGATTTGGGGCATTCAGCTGCTTTAGGTGCAAGGTGAAAGCATGGAGTTCAGAGGGTAAGAAATGAGAAAACGTACAGATGGTTGAATGAGTGTTGTGGGAAGATTTGGGAATATGGACGACATGCTTCACAGTCACATGAGCGTGTGGGGGGTAGACAATGGTGGGGACATGATTGATGAGCTTTTACAGGGGGATTCACTGTGGAGGGTCATGTGTGTGTACAACTCTTCCGCAAGATAGACCAGTTCTTTCTGCCTGTGGGGGGTTGTCAGCATCGGTAGATGTTAATGAGTTGTGGTGTTGCATCTATTGGATCTGCTTACAGATCAGACCATAATGTAATTGATAGTGTTTAACAAAACAAACAATTAGCGCTGGACATAATGGCATATTGCTGCTGATGTGGTGTTTCTTGGTCAAGAGAAGCTTTGTCAGCGGTTAAATAGAAAAATGTTTATTCTATCTAACTTCTAAACAGTGAAGACTGACTTCGTTCCCCTGGGAAGACTGTAATTGACTGCTTACTTAAAGGATCAGGCTCACAAGATGTGACAGGCAACATCCAAAACATATAAAATAAAAGCACAAGTATTACCTGGTCAAAATGAACATTGGAAACACTGTTTTCTTTTTTTTTTTTTCTTTTTTCAGGATAATAGAAGGTAAAATGAAAATTTTTGAACGCATCTAAATTTTGTTTTACCGTCTGACCATTCAGAGTAATAAATGATAATAATAAAATTGTCTGAACAGGCTATTCAATACATGCCTGGCAAAGTAATCCTGAAGCAATTAATGGGAAAGTTTGCCTCTTCTGTTGATTTTTTATATCCTGATGTGAAAATGTAACTTAAAATCTGTTGGTTTTCTAGTGATAAGGGATCTCTGACGGCTAAACCTAAAGGGAATGTTATTTACAATGTTACTGGTTGCCAAGTAAGCTCAGTGTATCTCTGTTTCCTAAATGTGCTAAAACTAATGTCTGGTTTATTTATTATTTGTTTTTACAGTAGAGTTGTTGTTTCTCCTCGCAAGACATGTAACCATGTGTAATTGGTCTCCAGGTGCTGGCTCTGTGCTATCAGCTGCTTCCCCAGCCCGTGGTGTCCTTTGTGTTGGAGTTCCCCGAAAGACCATTATTCCTGCTGGTCGGAGGCAAGGCAGTAAAATGAGACCTTAAAATAAGTAAAGAAAACCCAAATTTCTATTAAAAGAGGTTTTAATCCAACATGGTTTCTAAATATTAACCATGTACTAGTTTCCAGCTGTGACATGCAGTACAGTTAAAAAAATATATATGTACAAAACAATTGAATATAAAAATGAGCCCAGGTCCCCTGATGTCACAGTGAGTGTCAGTAAAACATGACAAGAGAGGAAAGAAATACCGGATTTCATACAGGAAAAGGTCCAAAGAACTCCTTCTCAGAAAAGCAAAGTGTATTTATCACATTTGGAAGCAAACATTTGTTTTGCTTTTGTTCCTTCAGTGGTCTTGGAAACAGGAGTTGTAGAAGCTGCCTGTCAGACATCTCTGAATCTGGCCAGCACCTTCCCAAGCACCAGCTCGCTGTTAGGTACCGTGCTTTTGCCTGTTAGCAGCCAGCTGCTAGCAGGGAATTGGAACCCAAGCGGTCATTTTGTTCCAAATGAAATCTGCCTTCATTGTTCTAGCTCTGTTTTCATTTACTCTGTTAGTACCATCTGCTCTCATTTAAATTATTTTTGTTAAAGCCACCTGTCCTGGTGCTATATTAATCTTTTTAATGTATACAGGTTTCTTAGTAATAGACCTGATGCCATATAAGAGAAGCATGCCATGCTTTTTCCAAGTAATAAATGTTTACATGTGGATGCGCATTTCAAGGTAGGCTGTGCTACCCAAGAAAACACGAACTGATGGAAATTCAGAAAGTTTTTCCCTCAAAATATTAGATCAAGAAATAAATTGCCCTTTCACAGGATGGTAGGGAATGGGAGAGGAAAGGCTGGGAAAATGAATTTCTTTGCAGATGTTCTTTAGTTTGGAGGTTGACTTTTTTGCCTCTTCACAGTGGGAAGGAGATGTTGCCCTTGGGGGCACAGGTATCCTGAGTTTTTCAGATAGTCATCTGTTTTGTGAGCCAGCAGACCAAGTGCAGTGCTACTTCTCATTTGAGAACCAGTATTCGCAATACAGAGCATGAGATCAGACAGGGCTATCTTGCACACCAATATTTGCAGGCTTTGATGAGCAGATAGTGTTGTTGGATGGTATTTGGCAAGCCTTCTTTACCAGTATGTCCAGACATGTACGAGGGCTTCCATGCAAATGGTAGGAAGGGCAGAGTATGTTGATGCCTCTTCTGTTCTACTTCATATCTTCGGTGAAATTGCAGAGACAGGAATGTGACCCCATCCAGGCAGCTTCAAAAAGTGATAGTGAATGCTTGATGTGCCAGCTAACATGAGGCACAATTACGCTTGAGTTTTGTTCTTGTTGCAGATTTCCAGTTGTCATTTCTTGTCAGAGATAGGCAGTAGATATTAATATATTGAAACCAATACGTTAACTGTAATCAATCAATGCCTTGATACGGCTGAGATATGGGAATACTCAGACTTTAGATAAAGAAATATTATTAGTTAATCAAGAAAAATATAAATGAAATAGAGGCATTCTGGGCCTCTCTTCTTTGGCACAGCAAGAAGTATTAAAGCTATAAGTGTTAAAGACTTGGAATTAAGAAAGCATATTAAAAGCTCTGCTATAAGTTTCAAATACTATGTTCTCATTTACTCAGTACATTGCAGTGCTGAGTAATGAGGGGCAATGGAGAACTGGTGTTTTGTTTGGATACAGACCTCTGTAACAGGTTGAAATCTGTAGAATCTGTACTGTAAATCCTTATTTCTCAGAGTGTTTAATGGTGATGGGAATAGCGTCCTTTTCCACATCACTGCCCTATGCTTTGGTAATTCCGTGAACAGTGAAGTGGAAAGAGGATATCAAGGCTGAATTAAGGGAGACGTTTCAATTGGCAGTGCATTCAGCAGAGAGGAAGGTGCTTGATCATCTTCCCTTCACGCTTCGTTGGTGTTTGGCTTTTCAGTCTGAGTCAGAATCAGAGTCCTCATCTGAAATTAATAATAAAAAAAAACGCAACCAAACAAAAAGATCATAATAATGAAAACATAAACTGGAAGTTGCAGCAGCTTTAGCTCTTGCTGAGAGAGACGTACTGCTTCTCTGTGGGTGCCTGCTTTGAAGGATGTGGCGTATTTAGGAGGAAGCTTTTAAAATGACAGTGCTTGCTAACCTGATAGAGCCTGAAATAGTATTTCACAGGACCTGTGAAATGCTGCTGAGAGGCATTTAGACAGTGGCAACACAGATAACGGTTCCAGTGAAAGAAGTCACAAAGATATTGGTAGCATGACCACCAAGAGGAAGTCTGCTTAAGATGTGCTTCCTGTACTAGAATATTGCTCCTTGCTGTGGGTCACGGTTACGCACTGCCAGTTAAACGGATCTGAAAGCCAGAAGCTTTAGGGCATTAAGAAATCCCTATAGGCTTATAGAGATACATTTGCCCGAGCTTGAGACTGGGCTTGCAAGAAGCAAGAGATTTCTGGCCTTTGCAGTTGAGTCACAGCATGGATGTGGGTTTTTCTATTGGAGGAGCAGTGCTGCTGGGCAGAGCTCTTTCTTGGTCACATCACCAACACAAAGGTGCATGACTACCTGTTTGTAAGTTGATATGTTTCTCTATCTCCAGGCAAATGACCCAATATTTAGCCTAATTTGATACTCTAATAACCTGATTTGTTCTGAGGTAATTCCAGTTTGTGGGGAGAAAGTTTTTGTCTTTCTAACAGTCTGTTTCCTGTGATCTGTTCACTTGTGTCTTCTTTCCTTAGTCTCTATGGCCTAAAGCTTACAAAGCACTTAACAGTCTACTAAAATATCTGGAAATGACTGTTAGCTTTACTGTGTATCTTCTGGGATAAGTCGTAATAATAAAGAAATGATAAAGAGAAAAGAGCTTTTTAGACAACTAAACTAAGACATTTTGATGGCACAAACATAGATGGCACAAAATTGTGAGAAACTAAAATTCAAATTCTTGGCTTGCTAGTATCTTTATAAATAATTAAAATTCCAGTTATGTTTCAAGACTGAGGAACTTCATAATTCAGCCTGCTCAAGGCATAGAAATCTTAGGTAGCCAAGAAAGGAAACTCTTTACTGAGTGCTCTTGCTCTCATATGAAGGGTGAATAGAGGAGAAAGTCTCATGCTCTGTGCTGTATGACCAAAACGGGGAATTTTACCTACCTTCTGACTTGCGCCTTTCAGGGGACTCGGAATTGCCTTGCTTGAGGAAAGTAACCAGGTCGTTAAACGTTATGTAGAAATCAATAGCATACACTATTGTGGCTATAAATCCAAATACCTAAAATAGAAAAATAATATTATCTTTAACAACAGTTTATGTCTATCAATGACAAACCAGAATAAGCTTAAGTGACAAAAGAAAATCTGTTGA